GGGGGGGCAGGAAATCAATCCATTCAATACTACAATATGTAATCTGAACAGATATCTCTCCATGGCATCCATAAGCATCATATTACTACCACCTAAAATCTTAGGAAATTACAGGAATGATTTTTAAGAAACCAACAACCACAAAATAAGCCTATGAAAAGGGGACAAACAGGTTACTACATAAAGAACAATTTTTCCAGAACTCAGAACTGCTGCTGAGCCTCTGCTTAGTGACCTTCAGAATTACACCAAACACACACATTCTAGCTTCCCAGGGAAACTACATTTATAAATAAACATTTTGAAATATTTCCTTTAAATAGTTTTAACCCCATCTTAGTCCGCATTTCACTGTGTTAACACTGCTGTGGTTCACAGGTGGTTCAGCACAACACGTTAAATGGCTACTGCACTACAGTGTAGTTGTTCGATTTAGCTATAACTTGAGTTGTCAGTGAAAAAACACAAGCAACGTTAAATACGTTTTTACCAGCAATTCCAACAGAAACTCCTTCTCATAGCTCGAGTCTTCTCCTTCCAGAAGAGGCGGCAGCAGGCAGAGGTATGACGCCACCTGGTGAAGAGTATTTGAGCTGCATGGCAAAAGGGAAAACAGAAGCTTGCATCACTGAAACGGTAGATTATAGTTTGCCTTAAAAAAATAAAAAAATCCAACTACGCATTTCAGACACCAGACATTACAGGTCAACATTTTAAGTGAAGTTTGAGATATATAAAACATTTTTATTTCTGGAGCTGTTACAAAGTGCTCTACAGCACTTCCATGGGTGGTGTGCTCAGCCACATGTGTAAGCTGAACTACTCACCAGCAATAAACACAGCAAGGTACAATATTTTTCTATTGTTTCAAGACATATACCTGAAAAACAGAACTAAATAACCAAGCACAGATTGCCTTGGTCAAAATACAGACTGCTATCCTTTTATTTACAGTGTTTACAATACAGTACAGTTAATATAGTGGTATACCTTCTATGATTTCTGGTGTAGTTTCTGTATAGAACAAAGCAAGAAAACCCTATATTTTAAGAAGTTAGCAGATAACTACTCTAAGTTAATTACTGCTACAATTACTTCAAGCAATTTGCTGTTTTCCAGAAAATCAGTATTTTCTCACATTCATCAGAATAAAGGAAAATACAGATTTTTCTTACACTGTAATTCTAGTACTTCACTACTAGTGGATGCAACCTCTCCCTGACTATTTCAGCAGATGTAAAGGCACCTCAGAAAGACCTGAGAAGTCACATAGGAAGTCAAGAAAAAAAAAAAAGCTAGAAGTCTGTTAAATTAAAACACATTGAGAACAAAGAATTTCATTTTCATGTTAAATATCATTTTGGTAACTTACCTAAGTGGCCCAAATATCTTCAACAGTGAATCACGAGTATCTACTGCAGCTACATTGGAGAGTGCAAAGTCGTGTAACTCTGGGAAATGTGCAAATGCTGCTCTCTACAAAAGACCCACGCCCAAAAACTGACTGTAAGCATGTTAACGAAACACTTTAATAACAATCTAAACATTTACACAAAAGCATAGCTTCCTCTGACTCATAAACACAAAACACCCTGTGGACACTACCAGTATAGAAATAAAAAACAGGTGAAATCTCCATTTTTCTTAGTTAGCACCACCTTTTTGTTACTTCTGTGGTTCTGACACAGTATCTTGTCTATACACCCTCCTATCAGCATTTGTTCTGTCGTTAAAATAAAACATAAGGAGACAGACATGTAGCCTTGCACACAACCAAGAAAAACAAGGAACATGTTTAATTTAACCATTCTTCCTTGAATATTTTTTGTTAAAACTGATAGGAAAAATTCTGAAAAGAGCTTTATATGACTTTTATATCTTTATATGACTACAAGTAATGTGAATTTTTATTCTGTCTCTTATGTACAAGGGACCACTATTGCTGCTGTATGCGTGCTGATCATGAAGAAATGGTGCCACCTACTGCATAATCGTAACTTCCTACAGCACTTAATTTTCCCTTTCTGAACAGATTTAATGGGAGCAGTTCATCTCCTCAGTATCAACTCAAAAGTGGTGATGTTTTGCTAGAGCATATTATTTAGTCAGTCACATGCCTAACACTGAAGCATTAAGCATTTTTGGTATAGCACAGTCAAGTTAAAACTATTCCTGTAACTCAATAAGAAAAATAAGGGGTTTGGGAAATAGCTTAATGCCTATTTTAGATGCAAATTAGTCGTCTAAAACAACAAAAACAAATCCTTTCCCTCCCATAAGCACTTTGCCATCTACCTACCTGTAAAGAAGTAATTCTGTCATAATGAATTGTTGTCATCTCATTCTCTGTTAAAGCATTTCCTGTCTGATCGTTGATTTCAAAGCCAGTGTAGAATTTAAGCATATCTAAAAGCTGAGACATCATCCATATAAATTAGCAGATTAAGTTTAAGAGACATCCTACCACAAACAAAAACAGAATTTAAGAGGGGAAATCTAAGCACCATGCACATGGGCTTCTCAAATTCTTGAAGAAATAGACTAAAGAGCTGTACCTAAATTTTATACTAGACTGATGCACAAAATTTTGTTTAGGTGTCTCCTCTACAAGCCATGGAAATCACAGCACAGCCCACAACCAATGTGAGTGTCTTCGACATACTAGGACTTGAAACTGAAACTAACAGCACACAGGTGATCACGCCAGAAGTTCACTGAGGAGCTGAACCCAACTTATGGCTCGCTGCTCCCAAAACGGAGAGGTCTTGCTCCCTCCTGCCCTCTCTCTGATGCCAGCTCTGGAAGTCATCCTACCTTTAAATGACATTATTTAACCTGGAAGAAAAAATTTATTCAGATGTGCTGTTGGCTTTGTGTTCCATCAACAGTGACACTCAAAGAAACCGAACAAATGCTAGAGATGGGGGACAGCAAGTAGCAGGAAAAGTAGTGAAGGTGCAGGAAAGGGGAGAGATCTTCAGATACTGACATAAAAACCAATATAGTGTCCAAGACTGAGTAAACTGAAGGTCAATAGTGAAAAACAGTTGCACCTTAGAGCAATCTGACGTCCAAATGAAGCACACAAGAATGCGCTGCTGACAACTTCTGTTATAGATGAGGAAAAGCACTTTAAGAACTGTTCAAAAACAGCACCACAAACGTAAGCACAGTCACTCACAGAGTTACAGGCAAGAAAGAACTGCCTGAAGGATCTAAATAAACATGCAGTTTGCACCCATCAAAAAACCCTTGCAAACAAATATAAAACAAAACAATAGCAGTATTCAGAGCTGCATCAGAATGAAAAAGCTATTTGCAATAACTCTGCATCTCACCTGGCAAAAGAGATGACCTTCCTTCTCTCTTTTAGCAAGACTGGACAGGTAACAGTGAACAACAAGATGGGAGTCATCCAACACTGTATTAAACCAGCGCCGTGTGGGAAGCAAAGCCTGTGGCAAACCAGCTCACGTTAGTACAAGAAATTCTTCGACATGTAAGAAATCCTAGTTTCTCGTAGTTTTCCATTTTAAAAAGGCCAATCAAGATAGATTGCTACACAGTTATTTACATAGCTTATGCCCTAACCCAGGTTCTTGTATTAAAACCGCTTTTATGTGTGCCAAGACACTGTTTTTATGCAGGTAGGCTGCCATGAACACACAGCATTTTATAGGACTGGGAGCACGGCACAGCTTGCCATTAGTGAGACTGCACCTTGATAACAAAAGTAAATTAAATAAAGCAATTGTCCTACTATTCAGTGACTACATAATGACTGTATGCTACACAAGATATGTCAAACTGCTGCAACATAGTTTTAAAATGTTTTCTATACTCATTTCATTAAGGTTTAAGCCTGCCCTTCACAAGGCTGCAAACTGTGTTTCTTCTAAATATTGTATGCTATCTTCTATTCTTTGTAAGAAACTTTAATTAGACCTGGGAATTTTTCAAATCTTAATTAAAAACCTTTACAAACTTTTTGTAAGCAAAACAGATAATTTCTTCTCAGTAAATAGTTTAAGCTGCTATACATAGTAACTGCTCAACAAAATCCATTAGTACACCTCAACAATTCAATAGAAGAAGAAGTTGTTCTCAATGAAATCTACAGATTTAAATTGTAAAGCCAAAAAGCATCAACACAGTGTTTAGAACTAAAGACGAAGAGGATAAAAGAATCTGTAGTAGAAAACATTAACTTCCCTGCACACTAATTATTAAAAAAAAATAAATCAGAAAACCATGAAAACTTTCCATGGAATCATTCCTTTCAAATCATCAAATCACCAAGTTTTGATGGCAGTCAAAATATATACTTTAACATGAAACAAATATTCTAAAAGAGGCCTTGACACAGGCAAAAAGAACCCATTAACACAACACAATGCTACCAAGGCAAAAAGACTTGGATTTACATCCAATTTCTCACATGCCTGTTCCAGGCATTTAAACAGGCTTCACGAATTGACTAAATTCTGACCTTCCTGTAATACCACCAAGAGAACCAACATTAAATCATAGAATCATAGAATGGTTTGGGTTGGAGGGGACCTTAAAGATCACCTAGTTCCACCCCCCCTGCCATGGGCAGGGACACCTTGCACTAGACCAGGTTGCTCAAAGCCTCATCCAGCCTGGCTTTGAAGACAGCCAGGGATGGGGCGTCCACAGCTTCTCTGGGCAACCTGTTCCGGTGCCTCACGACCCTCTCAAGGATTCTTCCTTG